CAGGACGTCATAGGTTTACGACAAAAAAATATTTAAAAATTATCTCTTAAAGTATCATTGTTCGTGTAATTACATTTAAAAGAACTTTAGGAATCACTTAAACACCATTTCATATAGTTACTTAGTTTCTTTCTTTTTTTCCAAAGTAATTATCTTTTATATAAAAAAAAAAAAAAAAAAAGCTTTCGGGCTGAAGTCTTCCCCCAAAATTAAATCCGCTAGTGTACGGAGATGAGTCCAACAGCCTATACTTTTTTCAATTCGAATGCAACTCAACTTTTTTACGATCTTGCCCAGGCCCCTCCTTAAGAAGTAAAAAAAAAGAAATCTCCTTTATCTCAGGGCGATAGTAAAATCTTTCTTTGTCCCCCGAAGAGGATGTTGAATACTGGAGTTACGCGACTTTTGCATTAGTCCGGCGATATACTTATTTACCATTTCTTCTACTCCGACATGTGCGTCCTATTTCAGTTTTATTCGTTCTTTCACACCGGCCCACTCCTTAGACCGGCACCTTCATAAAAAGCCGACCCTCTTCCGAGATTGATTGCCCCTATCTCGAATTGCTCTGTTCACTTATAGACGCCCGGTTTATGGCGAATAACAAAAGCCGTGCGAGATACTGAGACTAGGTACATCTGGGTCAGTATCTTCTCTCCGATAGGATAGTCAACTTATATAATCCATCAGTTCAGAAAGGAAAGTGTTATAAATAAAAAAAGTTCCAAACCAAAGAGTAATATATTAATCACATGAATTAATTATACGTGAAAACAGGCAATCTGATAAAATAACAAAAATATATGTCAATTGGGGATTCGAGGAAAATTGTATGAATATTTTATCTGAGGGACTACAAGTATGATTTTAAAATTTCTGTTTGGGTTCGACAGTTCATTTATGAAAGAAGGATTTATACCTCCGCACTGCAGAACATTTTTTATGAAATTATTAACACTTTTCTAAATCTTCGTGAATAGTTCTTATCATCTTATCGTAATCTATAATCTATTTAATCTATAAGCTGTAAATGAAAATTGATATCGTGATTTGAATAAATAATTCGTGCATCCACGTCACAATATGCAAGACAAGGCCTGTAAAGGAAACTGCCATACGCTTTTCCTAGTAATCTTAATATTATAACGTCTCTTTTCCAAGCAGCCATAAATAAATGAAAATATTTTTTTGTAAATTATTGCAATTTATATTTTTAAATTTTAAATTTATTTTATAGTTGTGAATTGATGGTAGACTGTAGTGAATAATTGAAGAAAAGAATGGTTGGGATGATCAGTAAAAAAAAAATAGGGAAAATAAATGAGGAAATTTATTTATTATTTTTCTTTTTTTTTTTTTTTTTTTGTATTGATCATACCAACCATTCTTCCTTTCAAAATTTATTTTAATTTAAAAGTAATATATATATACATTTATTTAACTTTAAAGACTTAATAACGCTTATATTTTATTTCTAAAATATGATCTTATGTATTAGGTATTAGTACATGCTTATACTTGAGAAAATGAATTAAAAAAAATTATTGAATAACTGTGAATAAATTTTCATGCTTTAACGGAATTATTTTATTAAAAATGTCTCCTATGTATTTCAGGTAAAATTATCATTATTTAGAACGTATACAAAATAATAATAATATATAATTTCAATTGTCGTTATTCTTATAGTGATTAAAATTTTAATTGCCAAATGGAATAGAGTTAATAAAATATTCATTAAATGTAAACATATATAAAAAAAAAAATATCCTTTGTTGAAAATCATTGAATAAATACAGTCATTTCCGAGACATAATGAACAGATATCTTAGATTAAACAAATATTTTTCACATTTTATGAAATTATAATTGTTTAATAGAAGGAAATATAATCATTAATATTTGCATAGGTAAAGAAAACAGTGTAATGCATTTACACAATAGAAAAATATAATAAGTAATAATTTGAATATTCGAATTCCCAACTATTGCATTCAGAACTGCTCCTGTGTCTTCCTTTTATTGAATTGAATGATTACTCAATTATATTAAATAAATTTAAATAATTTTTAAATTATGATTATTCTAAACTGCAACACACCATTATAAATAACAATGGAAATAAAACATAAATAAGAGCATTGTAAATATGTATTATAATGTTTTTATTGAATAAAAGTCTGGTCTGTCTATGCAAAAGGTCGTATGTAAAAGTTGATTTTTTTTTTTACAGAAGAGCATAAAAACATATTATTTCTTTATGATTCTTTGTATAATTTCATATTTTATTTCCTTCTGCCATTTTCCTATCCAGCAGACTATTTATAGCAGTTGCAGACTACAAAATGTCATCTTTAGCGCAAAGAAAATAAACATATAAAATTGTTAAAACAAATAAAATAAGCATACGACCTTTTTCACTAACAGTAAAGCTCTCTCTCTCTCTATATATATATATATATATAATATATATATATATATATATATATATATATATATATATATATATATATATATTTCCGTCATAAAGTACGTCTAAATATTTTAATGTGTCACACTGATTTATTTGTAAAAAATTAAAACATTTGCTTAAATGTATTGTAATGTTTTCGTAAAAAAAAATATAATTTATATTTTTTTTTTATGGATTGAAAGTAAGTTTATTATAGTTGTCACAGCTTCTAGTTATCAATGTCCGCCCATTTGATTCGCAATAGAACATCATCTGATTATGGAATCATCAAATAATTCTGGACAGAAAAGCTGGCCGTAGTTTGGAGGTCTCTGCTATAGAGTATGCGATTGTATTTCATGGAGTGACGTTTTCTTCGATTTGTTTTTCTTTTCTGTCTTGACGATGCCTGAATTGGCGATATGTAGACGGATTTTTTATTCTTTATCTACATTAATTTCTGTCTCTTGGTGGGTTTTTTAGTGATTTATATTAATTAATTAAAATTCTCTATATTACCGGTGATAACTAAAGCCTTTTGGGATCATTTACTCTTAACAAACTCTTCAATCTTCACTTAATAGCTCCTTCTTCTTTGGGGTTAACATAGAAGGAAAGTAATAATTAATTATTATATATACTGATACAAGATCACATCCACCTACAAATGTTTGAAATAAAAACGATAGGTGATCTATGGTACATTGGTTACTTCAAATGGGTTAGTGGTAAACTTGAATATCCTCCAGTTATGCAATTTTAAGGGATGGGTCGTACTCCAGTGCGATTGCGAAAGTACTCTTTCAAGATACGATCGCAATAACACGACCCGTTAAGTAGGTACAAGGAATTAAAAGACTCCGCCACACAGAGACAAATGACCCGCTAATAAAACAATATAACTGAGTCCATTAGTTTTATTGATGCTGTCCACTTATCTAGATTTGTCGCTTGCTCTAATGCCCGTCGCTAATAAATAATTTTCCACTTTCATTAGTTCTTCTCCGATAGCCAACAATATTAGTCAATAACAATATAATATCAATAATCTTAGCGATAACTATATATCTAAACATTTTTATGATTCATGAGTATCGGCGTCGTCATAGTCCAACTTGACTCAGCCATCTGATACGTTTTGACGTATTGCCTCATTTGTATATTAAATGTAATACATCTGATATTTATGAGATAAGCGAAACGTGAGTTCTTTATAATTATAAGGTAAAAAATTATTAGTAAAGTATTTTTAGTAATGACTAAAATAATTAATGGTTGCCCCGATGATATCACACTGGAAATTGTAGTACCATTAATCAATACTCATGTGAAATAGCATGTCAAAATAATTTGTAATGTTATTAGTATTCAGGTTAGCAATCGTATAAAAAAAAAAAATACTATAATTTAAGATTTTTTTCTTATAAATTGTTAATCTAACTCGATAATACTACCATTAATTCTATAAATGCACCACTCTACAAATCGGTCATGATTGGAGTTTGAGATATCGTTCTTCCGTTAGAGGATTGCATGGGTAAATAGGCTTATTTTATTAAGTCAGATTTTTTATTATTTCTATAATCGTCAGCCCATTTGCTTATTGTCAACAGCAGTTTGTTTACAAACATAAATTGACAGCAGAAAACAAAACTGAATAAACAATACATATTTATCGCACTGTTTAATTTATATAATAAAAAATTAACATTTTGTTGTTTTTTTTAAATCATAATCGTGTTTATTTGAAACATGAGTGGAAACGATTTAATTCACTGAGAAAATGAAAAATTTAATTTTTTTTCACTTCTTTGCAGTAAAAACAGATCGCGCTAAGTAATAGCTATTCAAACAAAATACAATGAAAAATACTAATAGTAATAACTTGTAACTTTTGAAGGATATTTAACGACCTAAAATAGAAAATAAAATAATAATTAATAGGATATTGTTCAGTCTGATTTTCGCAGAAATTTTCAAAGATCGAATACAAGTATGTAAATGCCCATAGATTTGTCTAAATAATATTAAAGTTTCGCCTCTTTTTTTGATTTTCAAAAATATCTCAATTTTATTTAAAAATTTCACATTTGCTACTAATCTGAGTGTGGACTAGCTCCCTCGGTATGAGTTATGACAACGATTATAGACACGTATGCCTGCTCACGATGTTTTTATTACATAGTTTTCAGGAACCGATGAGGAAAATAAAAAGTATTTAGATATACTTTGACAAGCAACAAATATTTTTTTAAATAAAATTAGATACATGTATTAGTAAAAAAAATTAACCATTAACAATACCCCGCAAGGCAGCTCCACTTATCCAACCAATTACTCGATGGTACGATACCGGCGTTTCCGAGATAGGGACTTATGACAACCAGGAAAGAGATAAGGGTTTACGAAATATGTATTATACTGTAGAACGGCAGTGGATGTGCAAGAGGGAATATAGATGACACAGTTGATTTTCCGCTATCTTATCTCCGTTTGGTATAAAATGGAGTTTCACTTTACTGATAAACCTTAGCTCTCTCTGGCCTAAATGTCGGAAGACGCGACCGAGAGTACTCGGGGTGCACCCGTCATTCGGGTTCCGACAGAATCTCATTTTTTTTTCTTACAATAGAAAGTTCATACATCTTCGAAAAGAAGTCAACCAGTTCCTGGCGCGTTCGATATGGTTATACGAGCTTTTATTTATTTATTTTTTGTCAAATCATGATTACTTCTCATATTTTAATTAATTATTATTAAATGTTTTTTTTTCATATCCTCTTTCTACTCATTCTTGTCTTTAATCCTTGGATTGCCTAAATAATACTCCTTTTGTTTATGAAACTATAGTTACTATTAGTAAAACGACTGTCGTATTAGTTTAACGGATATGTATTCTGTATTTATTTAATATGTCCCATATATTATTCAATTTTAACGCATTAAAGTGATAATAATAGATCATTGATCGAATTATTAATAATCAAACTTCATTGAACTCAATAAAGGTCATTTTTTAGCAAAAAAAATACAACAAAGTTATAGTATAAACTGTGAATTTAAAAATTTGATTACCAGGGATCAGCCAAATTTTACAATAATAGAATAAAGACAATTTTAAAAAATATGAAATTTATCAATTAGTATTAAAATTTACATTAATGTTTCTAAAAATATCTTTAAGGAGTATTAAAATATTTAGATTTGAAATAAAAACATTAGACCAATCAATTTTTTTAAATTATCTAAATGAAAATTCAATGACCTTATCATTGAATCATAAACATATATTTTTGATAATTTCTGTCTTTTTTATCAAGTTGTTTTTTAATTTCTTTTCAAAAGTACATTTTGCTTTTGAATCAATAAATTGAGAAATAATAATTTTAACTCTTTTGTATTTTTTTTTTATGCGTCCACTACTAAGAAAAAAGTGTATTCAATTATATGAGTCCCGTAAATTTGGTTGAACTCTAATCACGTTATTTAACATTTTTATCAAATAATTTACACAGTTTTTAAGCATATTAAATCTAATCAAGGACGCAGCCAGCTCAAAAACTATATAATCCGAAACAAAGAACATTTTTTTAAATTTAATTTATTTCAAGTTGAGAGTACTTTTTTTCTTAATTAGTTTCTAATGTCAAATACTAAAAATCACTAGTCGTTGTCAATCAGATTTTCAGATTTTTTTTTGTTTATATTTTTGGTTTTCTTTATTATTTTATTTTTTATGGTGAAAGTAGGAATTCCCCTCCTTCCGGATATGCTCAGTAGAAAACGAAGTTATTTTAAATATCAATAATATCGTCAGTTTGTCTTCATTACATCAGTCACTACTTAGCAATTGTGCACTTCATTTTTTTCAATCCGATATAAACTCTGAGGAAATTTTTGAATTATTATTTCACAGCAATAATAATAGTAATAACTAATTAATTAATCAAATGGCGAATGTTAACTATTTTCAAATCATTTTAATAATTATTGCCGTTCAAAGATACCAACTTACTGAACTGTAGTTGTGCGCAACTATGTTGGAATTCATCGAAGTATATAGTTAATGCAAATACATATAAAATGCAAAATTAATGACTAAAAACTTGTCTACGAGGAACAGAAGCTATGATATAACGCGTCTTAACGGATGATCTTGTGTGTATATGTTAATCGGGCTTATCTCGACTGCATCTCTTGAACATTTCTCCCACCTCCCAGGATAAAAAATATCTGTTATACGGCATATTATAAAGCATTCATTACGAGCCCGTCTCCTCTGCATGTACCTACACCGGCAATAATATCCTCCGATGACACCTTAAGGAGAAGAATTTTCCATAAACTTGTTGAAATAATGATTGTGTATCTCCTTCAACGGTTATAACATTGTGACATTAATCCGTTATCCTTTTCACAACACTGGATAAAATTATAAATATCTAAAATAATGATAACTATTAATTTTCTTAAATATATTATTTCCCTATTCTTATTGATATATAATTTTTTTTCTGTTTCAGATGAATCAGCAGTGTAAAGTTTGTGGTGAGCCCGCTGCAGGATTCCACTTCGGTGCTTTTACGTGCGAAGGATGCAAAGTAATAACAATATTTTAATTATTCTTCATTATATATATATATATATGTATATATATATTATAAATTTTATTTCATAACATATAAATCCGCGTTTATACATAACTCAAAACCATGGCGAGTACGAATTTACATAAAATGGACGTTGTGATTTTATTAAGATTTCTTCCGATGAAAATGGCCTAAATGGATGAAACGTTAGGTGAAAGAAAAAATAAACTAGGGCTAAAGGAACAAGTTTGTTTGGTTACAAAAATTTTGTTTCATTGTGACAAAAATAAAAATGTGAAGGATATAATATAAAATTATTACAGAAAATCGAAAAATAATTTTTCTTCATAGGGGAGAAAAAGGGATAGGATAATAGAATTTCAATTATTGTATAACAGTATTGCAAGCAGCAACTTAGTATAGTTTCGATAAAAAAATTAATAAATTAAAAAAAAATGAAATTCAAAACACGGAATTGTCAGGAGAGCTTCCTCTTTTTTTTTTATTAGAAGTATTAATATTGTGAATCGAATAGAATCAACTAACTAATTGATAATTGATATTAGCTGAAATTAGAGGTAATATGTTACAACACCTGACCGTATTAAGAAATATTAGGTACCTATTAATGTTGTACAAGGCTAAAGGAAATATATTATTTAGCCAGAGCAGGGCCGTGGACAGCTCCAGAGGTGAAACATTAGTAGCTCCGCCTGTTTATGATAATAGCTGCCCAAACTCGAATCCTACTTGATTTAGTGCTTTGTACAGCTCGCTCGGTTCCTTTCTTTTCCTTTTTGTCTTCTTCGCCCTCGTACTCCACTCTCATAGGCTCCTTTAAAACGGTGTCAAATGCTTTACCGATCAATAGATACCAGGAATGGACTTAGAACTACTCTGAGTACCGAATTAGAGTACTTTACTCAAACTTATTCACTTTTAGGGATGTAATCAGTATTTTAATATATCATCAATTGTATCGAATTATACGCATTATATCGATTTATGGTTCATATTTTCTGCGGTCTCTTCTTAATAGCCTAATCTAGGAACTTGACTTTATTGAAATATATTTTAGCATAACTATTATTGTTAGTAATTTCAATTTATTATCGTAGTTAATTTTCTTCTTTTTTTTTTTTTGTAGTCATTCTTCGGACGCTCATACAACAACCTGAACTCTATATCGGAGTGCAAGAACAACGGAGAATGTGTCATCAACAAGAAGAACCGGACCTCCTGCAAGGCTTGCCGCCTGAGGAAGTGCCTCTTGGTTGGGATGTCGAAGAGCGGCTCCCGCTACGGCCGGAGGTCCAACTGGTTCAAGATCCACTGCCTCCTCCAGGAACAGAAGCAGAAGGACGGAGCTGAACAGAAGCTGCAGATGCAGATCGCCTCCATCAACAGAAGTAAAGACGAACTCCTCCTCCTCGGTATAGACGACTACAAGGCGACGTCCCCTAGCATCAGCTCTCCAGACTCAATATCTGATTCATCCGACAATTACCGACCACTCTTTAAGGATGTACCGCATTACATACCGTACATGTTCCCCCATCCTGCGTATCTTCCTCCACTTACTGCCGGTTTGTACCCAGGGTACATGTTTGGTGGGCGATGCTACGACGACAACTTCAATAGGACTGAGCGCTCTCCCACCCCGGACTCACCCATCGATCTGTCGCTGAAGACAAGCGGTTCGACAGCAGCGGAAGACTCGTCTTCGGAAGAGGACATCAATGTAGACGATGAACTACCATCCGAAGATATGGTCTTGCGGAGGACTGCTCCGCTCGACTTAACAACAAAAGTCAATTAAGTCGAGTGCACAGTAGACACGAAAGTACAAATGCCCACCCGTAATCAAATCTTCTTAGGTATGAGAATCGAGATAAACGATTAAAAAAAAAAAAAAAAAAAAAAAAAATCGAAAGAAGAATATGATGGTAGGCACTTAGACAAAAATGGTGTGTGATTGTTTTAGAAAAATATGTATCCAGAGTTTGGATAAATACATTGCGGCTCTAGGCCAACATTGTACTTAATTTAATTTAATTTTTTAAATTTATACTACCAAAGTTTTTTATTATTTTTTTTTAGAAATTAAGTTTTATTTAATTTGTAAAAATCACTTTATTACACTAAAAAATCATTCACACACGCTCAAATCGACGTTGTAAGATAGATATGTATATGAATCTACAATTAAAAATGAAAAAAAAAATAGAATAAAAAAATTACAAAAATAAATGTATTGTTCCACGTTAGTTATAGAAAAGGATGTGCACATCCAAGATGTCTTGTGCACTTTTTATGTTCTCAATCGACACATGTACATTTTGTTGTAATTGTATTTGATAATTGTAAATTGTATTTACATTTCTAGACAGTTGTAAATTTAATTATATTGTATATAAATAGATTAATATATTTAATTAATTTTAAGTTGTCACCCCTGTAATGAAAAAAAATATATAATGATGTATAATATTTTATAATATACATTAAAAATATATTAACTGTTTTTTCTAAACAATAACCCATTAAATATTATAAAATAATATGAAATTGGATATACTTCCAATGAAGTCGTGGGTAAATGAAATTTCCTTATTATTGGATTGCTAAATTATAATTTTGGTATTCATAGAATATTGCATATCTAAGGAAGCGCTTGCTTTGGGAACAATAAATAGCCGCTATTCCGAGCAGAATTGGCTCCACTTATACACCGACGGCTCCGCTCAAGCAGCTACGCGGAATGCAGGAGCAGGAGTATACTGCCAAGATTTCATGTTATCCATCCCTGCTGGTAGCCGGGGAACAAACTTTGATGGAGAAGTCAAAGCCATTTCGGCAGCATTGACTGAAATAGATAAAGAACTCACCTATTCCCGAGTTGTGATCTTTGTCCATTCACAAGCTGCCATACTGTCGATCTGCAATGGCCTGGACCATCCTGATGTCATTAGTGCCAGAAATCGGATTTATAACTTAATTAAAAAAGGGATCAGCTGATGCGAAAGGTCGTGTTTCTACATCGTCTCTCAGAATTTGCTTATTTTCCAGTGAAATCTTTTATTCACTGATTATTTATTCAACACAGGTCAAGAATACATAACAACAATTGATATTTATTGTTTGTTATAAATTATAGGGTTATTTTTATTATTTTTTTTCCCTTATATGCGATATCACCATCAGGCCATGTCTAGTAGAGCGTCTATCAAGAGAATTCGGCCGTTAGGCTCAACACCTTGTTCTTCGCCTGTCAAACAAAAGCCTCGTCAATGTCGTCAAACACCTGCAGTAACGCCTATTAGCTCCAGAGAAAATGAAACCCAGCCAGGGACATCATCAAAACCAACAATTGAAGAACTTCAGCATCAACCAGGTACATCTTCACAAGAGATAACCGAACAATCTCCGTTTTTCACCCCTAACCCCTATCAGGTGCTTCAGAATGATAAAGAAGTGATGGAATGTGCTTCAATACCAAGAGATCCCCGACCTCCACCCATATTCGTTAAAAACATAAACAAATTTCAGTTACTATGCTCACAACTGAACAAAATAACAGGCTCTGGAAGCTATTCATGTCTAAGCAGAACAAAGGACACGAAGATATCACCAGATACAGCTGAAACCTACAGAAAAATTGTGAAGTATCTAACGGAAACCAACGCGGATTTTCATACGTACCAATTACGGCAAGATCGAGCTTTGAGGGTAGTCATAAGAAATCTACACCCCTCAACACCAACCGAAGCAATAGAAGAAGAATTGAAAAATTTAGGTTTCATAGTGCGCCAGATTACAAATGTACAGAAGGAGAGTAAAGAACAGCCAGGAGTAAAAGTTCCTCTACCCTTATTTTTCGTAGATTTGGAGCCAAATCAAGGGATCGAAAAAATATACGAAATAAGAAGAATATACTACACAAGTGTTATAGTAGAGAAGCCATATCCTAAGAGGGAAATCGTACAGTGTCACAATTGCCAGGCATATGGCCATATCAGGACTTACTGCCATCATCTGCCGCGCTGTGTGAAATGTGGAGAGCAGCACAAATCCGGGGAGTGAACAAAACCGAAACGGGATCCTGAAGTTTGTGCTTTGTGCCTTGAAGGACATCCAGCGAACTACAAAGGCTGTCAGATCTACAAGAATATCAAATCAAGATATCAAAAATCCCGGACCCAAGAAGAAGCAGAGGCATCAAGAAGAGAACCTAACGCATCAAGAAGAGGAACCTCAATTTGTCCCTATACGTTGTAGTATACCGCCCTCCTCTGGTACCTTTCGACCCATCCTTCGAATCAACCCTATACAAATTTATCCCATTTTACAGTAACATAATAGTTTCCGGTGACTTTAACGCCAATCTCCTTTCCGATTCCCACGATAAACACTACTTGGAAAACCTTTTCTACTCCCTTAACCTCTTTATAGTGCCATTTGCTCCTACTCATTACACTTGCTGGTCTGATACATGGCTGGACCTGTTTATCATCGATTCTGCGAAGAACGTTTTGTCCTCGTCCCAACAACCTGTTCCTTTCCTGTCTTCACATGACCTTATCCAACTATCATACAATATCCAGACCCCTGCAATCCTTCCTAAAACCATAACCTTCCACAATATAAATTCCCTAACCCGTGAAAGCATCTTACCCGATATTGAAACCCTGAATTGGAATGATGTTTACACCAGTTCCTCAATTGATACCATGGTAGATATCCTGACTTCTAATCTCCTCCATATCCTCAATACCCATGCCCCACTTAAAACCTCTACATTCCGCCGCCAACCTGCTCCTTGGATGAGAAATTCGAAATATGCAAAAGAGACGTGAGGCAGCCCGTAGACGTTTTAGAAGAACCAGGCTTGCAGATGACTATGAAGAGTTCAGTGTACTCCGTAACTTGACGCAAACAACGATCAGGCAAGCGAAAACCAATTACTTTCATGAAGCCTTCTCCTCAGCTCCCGATTCTAAATCCAAATGGCATTTACTCCGAAAGCTATCTCTTTGCAAATCATCTTCTTCCATAGCTGTCCCAGTCTCTCCTGATGCCTTAAATTCCTACTTTTTATCCTCCTCCTCTTGTAATATTTCTCCCTCTTCTTCTTATATTCCTGTATCATCTGCATTTAATAGTGACAATTTTTATTTTTCCTACATCACTCCTACGAACCTTATTTCCTCCATAATGAAATCCCAATCCTACTCTACAGGAATTGACGGAATACCTGTCAAACTGTTAAAATTATGCCTCCCTGAAATGCTTCCAGCTCTTCTATTCATTTATAACTTTTCCCTTCAAAATTTTGTTTTTCCTACATCCTGGAAAAAAGCCTTAGTCCGTCCTATTAACAAAATCTCTAACCCCACCTCTCCTAAAGACTATCGTCCAATCTCCATCCTCTCAAATCTGTCAAAACCCCTCGAAAGAATAGTCCAATCCCAAATTTCCAATTACCTCGAAGAGTCCAAACTTTTAGATCCTCTCCAATCTGGCTTTCGCCCAGGCTTCTCCACTCAATCCGCTTTAGCTAAAATCACAAATGACATACATACTGCAATTGACGAAAGAAAACTGACTGTATTAGTACTCCTGGACTTCTCCAAAGCATTCGACTCCTTAGACCATCCTATTCTCTTCAATAAATTAAAATCTCTATCCTTTTCCAATAGTTCTATCCAATGGTTCCAATCCTTTCTTTCTGACAGGACTCAAGCCGTTAGTATTCCGAATCAACCGTTATCTTCTTTCCTAACTTTGTCTCATGGAGTAGCCCAGGGTTTAAGCATTTCTCCTATCCTTTTTAATTCTTACATCAATGACCTTCCTAGTTCAATCCACCATTGTTCATACCATCTATATGGTGATGACTCCCAAATTTATTTTTCCTTTCCGTCCACTGAATTATTAGAAGCGTTTACGAATATTCAGAGAGACCTAGACAGGATAAGTGCCTGGGCAAGCTTGAATAAATTAAAGTTGAATGCAACGAAAACTCAGGCCATTCTTATAGGTTCCAACTCCCTCCTAGATCCATTTCCACCCATCCTTCCTTGATTATTAATGACCAACCAATCTCCTTCACCTCCTCTGCAAAAAACTTAGGAATTACCATTGATCAAAACCTATCATGGAAACCCCATATTGCTCAAATCTCCAGAAGGTCAATTGGTACTCTTAAATTATTTCAACGTTCTCGTCAGCATCTCCCACAACTTATCCGCAGGCTCCTCGTTTCCTCATTGATTTTCCCCTACTTTGACTATGGCTGTATGGTATACGGTGGCCTCTCGTTGGAGCTTGAGGACAGACTGAAGAGAATCATGAACTGTTTTTTAAGATTCGTCTTCGGCACTTCGAGATGGTCTCATGTGTCCCACCTATATGCCGAGTCAAAGTGGCTCTTCTCCTCTTCCCGCCGCCTATACTTCCTTGGAAATTTCTTATACCAAACGATCAATTCCTAGCACCCTTCTTATATCTGTTGTCTCCTCCAGCCTAAACCCTTAGTCCACTCAATAAAAACGAGATCCCGTGTTTCTGACCTCTATATTCCATTCCACAGGACAAAAACCTATGAATGTTCCTTCTTAGCCCGCTCCGTCTCCTACTGGAATATCTCCTTACATCCCAAACAGAAGATTTACCGCCATAAATTTCATTTTACGAACTGAATTTGCGTGAAGTAAATAGTGGTGCCTACTGTTTAAGTTATAACATAAAACAGCAATGATTTTTGTCACCTAGTTTGAGACTATTATTTTTACTATTTATGTATTTTTCTCTTCTCCT